GACGGCTTTTACAGGCCTGGTTAAAGCATCTCTAAGCGTCTTGGGCTATGGGAGACTTTTGTCTCCCTGGACACGCATTTCTGCCGGCTTCTTAACACGACTTTAATTTCAAACTTGGACCTGCAATGTAAAAGTGGCCGCAGAGCCCAGGGACTGACCACAGCTGCTGCGAAAACAAGTGACGTAGGAGGTGCTCAAAGAGAATTATAAATTAACCATTAATCATTAACCCATTCGAGGACTGGTGATCTTCCGGAACAGAATTGAGGGAAAGAAAAGGATAATGCACATTACTTGCAGCAGGAAGAAAAACAAGTCTATTCGTGAAGTCATTTTTAAATAAATTAGCAAAAACAAATAATATATTTAACAGGTTTGGCCTACATAAGAGACAAAATCCTCTCCATTTATTTAAAAAGGCTCCTTGGCTGTAGAAATCAGAGAAGTTCTGAGTGTTGCTGTATCCTCGGTACAAAAGCAAGGACAGGTTGTACAGGCAGGGTGTCATTAAGGACCTCCCTTTCCCAATGTCCCCGCAGGCACCAGGAACATTTGTCTCCTGCTCCCGGTAGGGTCCCAGCAAATGCAAACGGCCCCACTGAATCCACAGGTTTTTCCTGTTCCAAAATGCACCTTTCCAAAGATACAAAAATATCAAAGTTGAGACGTTAACTACTGGGACATACGGAAAGCCCCAAGCCAGGAGCGCAGCGAGGCTGCAGCCTGAGGAACCTCCAAAAACCTTCCTGGCCCCATTCCGCCCCCAGCATCTCACAGGCTGCAGGAAGCTCCTGCCTCTAGAAAAGGAAAAAAAAATGGGAAACTCTATGCACTAATTAGCACAGACCTGCACTGAGAAACAGGGCTAGCTCTACTTACAGGAAGCCTCATAAACAAACTTTGTAATTATATGTGAATGTTATAAAAAACACAGAAGTAGTTTTCCTTTCCTAATAAAAGCACGTAACTGTATTCATCTTTCCATCTTTGCCCTCATATAAATTGACTCGGATTTGCTCCATCTTTGGGGGAAAGAAAGCAAAGCAAACCAAAAACCCTCCACTGGAGGCAGAGGAAGCAGAAACGCAGGGGAGTTTCCAAGGGGAGGAAGCAGCCCATGCTCCTGCCTGAGCTGCTGGCCTTGCTGAGGACTGACAGCTCTTCATCCTCCAGGGTGATGAGAACGGGGCACAAAGGAACACAGGCCAAACCGGATCATCCAGGAATCGGGAATGCTTTAACACACTCGGTGGCTCCATCAATGCGGTAAAGAAGCCTCAACATATTTGGACACTAGAGCATGTGGGGACGGGCACACAGCTCATTTCAGACCCAGGCCTCTGGGAGCAGAGGCAAACCCCAGTGCTTCAGCTTTTGTGCTTGCTGCTAAACCCACAGACTCTATAAGCATCTAGCTAGACTGCCTATACACAGGGGTTACACAGCCAGGGGATTTGCAAATGCCCTCCTATGCAAGCCTAAAAAAGCCCCTGGTACTGGACTTCCATACATAAATACTTGTAATCCAGGGATCACATCACATCCCTGCCTTCCTTAACACACTACATGGACACTCTAGATTTCCTTTCTCTCTAGATAAACCTACCAGATAAAGCTCCTTTAGCATCACGTTTCCAGCTCTCAGGTATTTCTGTAGCCCTCTTTTAAATACCTTTGTAATCCTGCAAAACAAACCTCTTTGTTTGACTAAGGGGTGACAAAACCCTCCAAAGTGCCAGGGGTGCCCGACAGAAGCTCTTGTCTGAAGTCAAGGTTATTTCTGGCCTTCTAAAGACGGGTTCTGGCCTGTCCCTGGGGCTCCCACCCTCCTGCACGTGTCCTGCCTCTCAGAGAAGGCAAGTCGTGGACGCAGGACACGACCAACAGCCATTGGAGATACCAACTCAACGAGGAGCTACCAACTCAATGAGGAGCTACCAACTCAACGAGGAGTTACCAACTCAACGAGGAGCTACCAACTCAACGAGGAGCTACCAACTCAATGAGGAGCTACCAACTCAACGAGGAGTTACCAACTCAACGAGGAGGTACCAACTCAACGAGGAGCTACCAACTCAACGAGGAGGTACCAACTCAACGAGGAGCTACCAACTCAACGAGGAGCTACCAACTCAATGAGGAGTTACCAACTCAACGAGGAGCTACCAACTCTCACAAGGAATTTTTAGGGTAAGTCTTGGTAGCTCAAAATTTCCGGGTGCACAGAGGCAGGTGAACAAGCCACAGGTCCAAACAGGTCAGACTTCTTCAGGTCTTTATTTCTGAAGCATCCTAGGTCTACTTCATCTCGTATTGGACAACGGACTGCAATAGAGACTGCGCTTCTTTAGGAATAAAAAATATTCTAAGCCAAAGAGCCCTGCTACTGATCCTTTCAAGGCAAAATATTAATCTTGGGAGTAGTGAATTATGAATCACAATAATTGTTGAATAGTTATTTATGTTTTCCTTCATCACAGTGATTTTTATACACAGTATTTCTGGGATTCTTCAGCCCAAATCCATTGATCCACACCCATGCCCAGAGATCCACACCAACGCCATCGGAGAAGACAGGAGATTCCTTTAGTTGTGTCTCTGGATCTGGCTCTGCTTGTGAGAGGTTTGAGCACCCTTGCTATCTGCACAGACTGAAGAACATGGGATTGGAGCACCAAAGAGAGCTCAGATTTGACTATGGGATGCAGTCCTGGTTATCTCCTATCAAAAAGCAATGCTAGAAGAAGAGGTACTGAAAGGACAAGCGTGATCTGAGTCACAGGGAAAGATTAAGTAGACTAAGATGCTCAAGCTGGAAAGTGGTGGGATAAACCTACACAATCTTCAGCAGCAGAAAGTAGGTCAACTCGTGAATTTTAAAAGAAAAAAGGAAGGGTTTTCTCACACAACTCACACCTGAATTGCAGAATTCCCTACTGCTGTGGATGCTGGAATTATGAACCGGTGCTTTCTACATATCCTGCGGCTCTGGAAGTGAACTAATGATCCCTGCAAGATGGGAAGCAAACCAAGAGCTCTGGGAATGACTTCCTGTTTATGACCTTACTAGACATCTTGCTACTTGTCACTGCTTGGGATAGGGTCCTGTTGGCTCTAGCCTTGATCTGTGTAAGCATGAAACGCTCGTATCTCCAAAACCCCTGCTGATGCAGAAGTCTTGTCATAAACAATATTCTTCATAAGCTAATTAACCTGAAAGCAAGCTGTCCATGTAGATGCTATTCCATTAGTCCTTAGCACAACGGTGTATTTTAAGGTCGATATCTTTGCTTGTCCTTGGAGGAGGATTCGCTTCCTCCACCTGAGATGACCCTGCAGGGTCCTCCTTGCAGGCCGTGCCCTTCACGTGAGGCTGTCTGCTGGTGTTTTGCAAAGCAAAAACATGGAGAACCTTTTTATTGACATTCTTAACTCAAGGTTGACTCCGTCCCCTTCTTCTAGATCAGATCTGACCTTGATAAAATGTAATAAACATCATTTAGGAAGAAACGAATCTCAGAATGGAAGGAAGCAGTAGAATGAATGGATACTGGTTATTCCAGCAGACAAACAGGCAGCTGCTCTGCCCGCTGACCGGCACGGGATGACTCACGTGCTGGGAAGAGCTGGAACACTGATGGGTTAGAGCACGATGAGATGGCAGGAGCATCGGGAAGCTCTCTGTACCAGACACGAGGTATCAAAACTGAAGTCTGGACTGTGCAGTTTGCATTAGAACCATGGGAGAACTGAGTTAAAGAGAAACAAGAAACACCTGGCTGGTTGGTAGGTGGCCAAGCTAATCCCTGCTGCCCGGGCGCTGGAGCAGAACGACGGTTTTGCCACGTCACCCTCCAAGACCTGCACGAGAGGCTGGGAGCTGCAGGAGAGCTGGGGACAGCACTGCTTGAGCCCAGCAAGGCATGAAGGCTACAAGGATGATGAGGGGCCTGGAACATCTGCCCTATGAGGAGAGGCTGAGGGAGCTGGGCCTGTTCAGCTGGAGAAGAGAAGGCTGAGAGGGGACCTGAGCAGTGTCTAGAAGTACCTCAAGGGAGGCAGTGAGGAGGATGGGGCCGGCCTCTTTTCACTGGTGGCCACCGACAGAACTAGAGGAAACGGCCACAAACTGAAGCACCAAAAGTTCCACAGGAACTTAAGGAAAAATTTCTTGCCAGTGAGGGTGCCAGAGCACTGGAACAGGCTGCCCAGAGAGGTTGTGGAGTCTCCTTCTCTGGAGATCTTCAAACCCGCTTGGACGCAGTCCTGTGCCACGTGCTCTAGGTGACCCTGCGGTACAACTGCCTTGTTTTCTCTTGGAAAGAAGCAGGAAGGTTTTTGGATCTTTGCATAGTTTTGTGTGAAGGACTGAAAACGAGGGCTTTTGCTTGTTTCTTTAATACACCTTGTCAATAAAACTGAAGAAAATCTTTTTAAGTTCAGTTTCTCATTCCCTGCAGGGAACTCTAATTAATACCCAGCTTTTGACAAGCAAGGTCTCCAGTGAACCACCTTATTTTCCCCAGCATATCGTAACAAGAAAAAAATGCAAATACATGATCCGACTAGTTTTTGGTATGTTGACTTACATACATCTATACCATAATTCACATAAATAAAAGGAAGGAGGTGGAAGTCCAAATTCAGCTCAAATTGAAAACGCACCTGATGGACACGGGCAGCCAGGCCACCCTGCCTGGGAACAGCCTGCAGAGCTTGGCGACAAGGGCAACAAAACCAGCCTGCAAAGCTGAAAGAAAGGGCAACAAAACCCTCTTTCGCACCGTTTGGGTTTCCACCAGCGACACGGAATAACGCAGACTCCCATCAAAGAAAATCATTGCTTCTGAGTGCTGCACACTTGAAATATTTGAAATGTCAGAAATCTGGATTGTTTTAGAATCTGAATGATATTAGAAGAGCTGTAGTGCCCCCAGATCCATGCTGTGTGCTTTGTCACCCCAGGGAACCCGGCAGTAAGTGCTGCGAGGTGCACGTACCTTTTTGTGGGAGTGGGCGCTCCGGAGGACGTGTGGGTCACCATGGTGTCGTTCATGTTAGGCAGGGGCCGAGGAGGGCTGCAAGGGAAACGTTTGCTCCAGTTAGTGATTTAAAAACAAACACACAAAAAGGAAACAAAACCGAGTAGGGAAGGGGACGTTACTGTTCTCTGCAACCACATCAGGTCCAAGAGCAGCAGCGGAACCGCTTCGCACGGCAGTTTCCAAAGAGCTTGCTCTACTGCAGTCAAATTCTCAGAATTCAAGTGTTATGCTGAAATGAAGCTAAACCCAACGCCTGTGATTATATAACTGACCTTTAGGGTTGTTCAATAATTTAGCATTGTTTAATAATTCAAACCAATGCAGAAACCTCGTGCGGGAGCGGGAGGACACGAGCGGCCGGTGCGGGGGACGCGGCCGTGGCGGTTCATCCCGGGACATGAGATAGGAGGGGGAAGCAAGGGGAACACAGCAGCAGCTCCTGCTCCCGAAACACCGCTGCCAGCTGCATGCCGAGACACTGGAAACGCTGGAAACGCTGAAAATGCTGGAACTGCTGGAAATGCTGCATGGGCGCAGCTGGGAGCTCATTGTGCACATGAAGCAGAACAGGACTTGAGCAGGACCACAGTGGCAAGAGCCACCACACGCTTTTCCATGGATCTTTTGGGAAAACTGGGCCCTGCAGCCTTTACCCTCCCGTATTTGCCATCATCTGTCATCCCTTACAATTACCGTAGGCACCGACTCCTGCAAGCCTCAGTTTTTACAACACCAGGGTGAAGAGCACGTTGGACCTCACAGGGGTTATGTGGTTCCTGGCTCTGCTGACGTTCCTAGTGCCAGCTGCAAAGAGCCTGCTTCTGTTTTGGACACAGGCTTAAGCCTAATTAGATTATTTCTTACCTATATATAATTATATATATATAAATAAATAATAATAATAATACACATAATAAATAATATAAATAAATAGCTTCCAGCACCCACTAATCTGGAAAGTCGAACACAACTGTAAAAAAATCCCCTAGATACCCAACATCTGAATGCACAAAGCAGGCTGTGTGCACGACTTGCAGTATTTCTCATGCAGGATTTGAGCACAGATATATTGCAGCGCTCAATCCCGGCTCCAAACAGCCTTGTCCAGAAATACTGATGATTCCTGC